TGGTGGCTCTAGTATGGTGTGAATGGGGCGTAGGCGGAGCAGGAGCCGGAGCGGGAGCCAGAGCGGGAGCCAGAGCGGGAGCCAGAGCCAGAGCGGGAGCCAGAGCGGGAGCCAGAGCGGGAGCCTAGAGCCAGAGCGGGAGCCAGAGCGGGAGCCAGAGCGGGAGCCAGAGCGGGAGCCAGAGCGGGAGCCAGAGCGGGAGCCTAGAGCCAGAGCGGGTGCTGGGGAGGTGGTGGGAGGTGGTGGGTGTTTAAGAGCCTCAGGAAGCGTTGCTTGTCAGGAAGTGGCTGCCTTTTAAACTGCCCGCTGTGCTGTGAGAGGGTTGGCAGGAGGCTGACCTGGCTGTGTGATTGGCTGAGGCTCGAGGCTGGCAGAGCTGTGTGATTGGCTGAGGCTCGAGGCTGGCAGAGCTGTGTGATTGGCTGAGGCTCGAGGCTGGCAGAGCTGTGTGATTGGTTGAGGCTCGAGGCTGGCAGGCACTCGGTCTTTCAGTCTGAACCTGCGCATTCAGCTTCATAAAATCAAATGTGCAAAATGTGCAATACAGAAAGGAGTTGGCAGTCTCTCTCACCGGTTTTCAGAACTTATTAAATGGTGTAACAGGGTGCCGTTTATTCAACCGGGTAAAACACTAAAACTCTAGAGGAGGACAACAAAAAAGTAACACGCAATTTACGTGTTGTTAAAAGCCAGGGTCTTAAAAGGTAAATAGATTTTTCCAAATTTTAGGAAAGAACCGCCCCCTCCACATTTTGGACCAAACTCTCTGGTCTGATTGGACGAGCTCGTATCACCAGAATGATTGACAAGCGGGTGGACCAATAGACTTGATGATCCACCCGGAAGTAGAAAATCACACTATATACTTTTAAGACGAGAATTCAGGACCAGCCCTGGACCAGCCACAGAGAAAAGCGCATCCGTCCTGCTGCTGTCAGACTGTACAATGAGAACTGCTGAGTCTGTACATGTCATTCATCGATAAATAAGGAAACACTGTAATCATGTGCAATGTGCAATACTGCAATTTCAGAATGTCCACTGAATGCCACTGTATCTATCCCTAACCCTGTATGTGTAGAACTTTGCACTATACGTATTAGACATTTTGAAAGATTGATATTGAAGCATTTACAGCAAGCTAAGAAACAGCAGCTTCTCATTGTGTACATTGTGTGTGCTCCCTGTGTCTCCGCCGACGGTCCTGTCTGTGCGCTGCAACAGTGAAATTTCCCCACTGTGGAACGACTAAAGAATCTCTTATCTTAGTCCTTTCAAGTTTTCAGTTTAGTCTTGGGCACCACGAGCTGAAGCGGATGCCCTCGGACCTGGAGAGTACATTTGGATGATGTCTGAGATTTACTGTGGGTCCAGTCCGTTCAAGGCTTTAAAAACAAACAATAAAACTTAAAAATCAATTGTAAATCTAGCAGAAAAGTCAGTGCAAAGAAGTGAAATCAGTGAAAGGGTAAAACTGAGGCACATGAGAGTCGTCCAGACGTGAAGGAATAAAAACAGGCTGTAAAATATATTTAAAAAGCTTGACCTTCGCTAAAAAGACAAAGGTGATAAAAGCCCGATTTAACAACTGGTCGTCTGTTTGTCCATTTATGGGCCAACACTCTTATTCAAACTCAGGTATGAACTGAACCGAGCTGAACCAGTCTAAAGCAGTCCCCCCTGACACACACACGTTCAGTCGTTCTAGGTTTAAAGGAGCTTATGTATTTAACCCTCTAGGCGCCAGGGTTTAAAATGGCCGCTCATGTCAAGCAGGTCCAAACTCATTCAAACTCCCTTCAACACAGTGATTTCCACACTTTTACCATTTCCCTGACCCGTGAGTGTGGTCCAGCATGAGTTCTGTTTGTGTGTTCATGTCCAAGTGATCTGTGTCTGTCAGTAAAAATATATGTTTAATGAAAATCCACTTTTGCCACGCCCGTATGAAGTCATAATATACAAATGATATGGATACATTTAATTCATAAATTAACTTTGGGCCATGCTTTTTGTTTCTCTAATTTACATAAAGACTATCTCTCATCACTTTTAAGTTATTAAGAATTAAGTTGTCAAAATTGAGCGTCTTAAAAGGTTAAACCCAGTCTAAAATCGTCTGCTGTTTGCAGACGATGTCGTCCTGTTGGCTCTAACGAACCAAGACCTACAACATGCACTGGGACTGTTTGCAGCCGAGTGTGAAGCGGCTGGGATCAGCACCTCCAAATCTGAGGCCATGGTGCTCGACCGGAAAAAGGTGCCTTGCCCTCTCCGGGTGGGTGGAGAGGCCCTTCCTCAAGTGGAGGAGTTCAAGTATCTCGGGGTCTTGTTCACGAGTGAGGGAAGGATGGAGCGTGAGATTGACAGGCGGATCGGTGCAGCGTGCGCAGTGATGCGGTCGCTGTATCGGACCGTTGTGGTAAAGAGGGAGCAGCGTCTGCAGTCAGAGCTGTATCAGACCGTTGTGGTAAAGAGGGAGCTGAGCCGAAAGGCGAAACTCTCGATTTACCGGTCAATCTTCGTTCCCTTCCTCACCTATGGTCATGAGCTTTGGGTAATGACCAAAAGAACGAGGTCGCGGATACAAGCGGTCGAAATGAGCTTCCTCCGCAGAGTGGCTGCTCCCTTAGAGATAGGGTGAGGAGCTCAGTCACACGGGAGGAGCTCGGAGTAGAGCCGCTGCTACTCCACTGCGAGAGGAACCAGTTGAGGTGGCTCGGGCATCTGTTCCGGATGCCTCCTGGACGCCTCCCTGGGGAGGTGTTCCGGGCACGTCCCACCGGGAGGAGGCCCCGGGGAAGACCCAGGACACGCTGGAGGGACTATGTCTCTCAGCTGGCCTGGGAACGCCTTGGGGTCCCCCCGGACGAGCTGGAGGAGGTGTGTGTGGATAGGGAAGTCTGGGCGTCTCTGCTTAGACTGCTGCCCCCGCGACCCGGCAACGGATAAAGCAGAAGAAAATGGATGGATGGATGGATGGATGTCTCTAAAAGGTCATTAAAAACCTTTACTTTTGCTGATTGGGCTGTGCAGGGCTTTGTCTCGTGTGTCTGGACCGTTTCAATGTCATTTTAACACAGGCATTTTAACACAGTCATTTATTTTTGCTTGGAGAATACAGAATATAATGACTACAACCATTTTTAACCTTAACATGTTGCACACTTCTGTCTTTTGCATAATCTGAGTGAATCTACTGTGGCAAATGTGACTTTCTCCACTGTGAGATCAAGAATGTCTATCTCATCTTTTCTTACAACTAAAAAAAACATGGTATTGCTATTGTACCTTTAGTATTGGTGTGGATATTCTTGTTTGTGTTATAAATAGTCATGTTGTGTTGAACCTATGCGTAACATGTGCCACCTGTTGGTTCGTGTGTGTGTGTGTGTGCGTGTGCACGTCCATGTGTGTGTGCGTGTGTGTGTCCGTGTGTCTCACCTGCAGATGTGCTGCTGGGGATCTGCCAAGAGTCCAGAAAAACATGGGCCTCGAGACACAATAACATGAAGCCACAGGGAGCGGGTGGATTAAAAATGACCACTGCCATTGCTGCTCCATAGAATAACAAAACAGAAGAACAATGAGCCTGCGAAGCCCACACCGGCCTCACAGGAGACCTCCGCATGAAAATGCATGAGAGAGGGTCGGAAGAGGAGGACGAGGCCTGGGTCGGAAAATAGAGTCATGCCGATGCTTAGAGCGGTTTGTAATCTGTCCACTTGTTCGGCTGTCAGAGTCCTATTGGAGCTACTTCCAGGTTAAGTCCGGCTTTAAACAAACGCACTGTTAAGTATATTTCTGTTCCCTGCTGATACAGACATTACATTTAGCACAGTTTGGTACCAGAGTTTTGGGGACACACCCTGACAACATAAAAGGGATTGAAATGTAAATAAATGTGAAACCCTGATAAACCATCTTCTACGCTCCAAACTTCAGCTCAATCCAGAATTTTTCGTGCGATCTGTCATGGTGTGGATTTGGTTTTATTTTGACTTCCTGTCCTAGTTCCCCTGTTGATTGTCTGCCCCGCCCTGATGTGTTTCACCTGTGTCTCTCTCTGTCTATATGTACATACACTACCGTTCAAAAGTCTGGGGTCACATTGAAATGTCCTTATTTTTGAAAGAAAAGCTGTAGATAACTTTAAACTAGTCTTAACTGTAAAGAAATACACTCTATACATTGCTTATGTGGTAAATGACTATTCTAGCTGCAAATGTCTGTTTTTTGGTGCAATGTTGTAATTGCTGCAAATGGAGGATTTTTTGACGAAAGCAAAGTTGGATGTAAAACAAATCTTATTTCAAACACAAATCATTATTTCTAACCTTGTCAATGTCTTGACTCTATTTTCTATTCATTTCACAACGTATGGTGGTGAATAAGTGTGACTTTTCATGGAAAACACTTTTGAACGGTAGTGTATGAAGTGCGGAGGAACGACACTTTCTTTTGTCTGTTTCTCTGAGTAAGCAGTAACCGGTAACAAAGACACAGAAGTTTCAGGTTAGCCTCCGCCGCTTGTTTACCTCAGCTGTCTGTGCTAACCACAGACCTGTCTGTGCTAACCACAGACCTGTGGGGGCCAGTGGTCCGCTGTGATTGGTCACAATCTGGACCCGAAACACATTCTCTTCCTCGTTTCACAAAAATTAAAAGACACACCAGCAGAAACCTGCACTACTTATTCTTCAAAAGGACGTGTATCCCAAAGCACTGCATGGATATGGATTGAATTTTCGTAATGAATACAAAAATAAAGTGAGGTAATGCAGCTTTAAGACAGCGAATGGACCGCTCTCCTCCACAGACACACAGAGCCACAGATTCAGACCGTGTCCCGCCACAGCTGCTGAGCCTGTATAACGCAGCTGTATGCCCGGATGCCCTGCCGTAACCTCGCCCATCAATCACCATTGGCTGAAGGCCCGTGCCATGGCTGCTGCCCCCAGGAAAGCCTGAATCTCCCTCTCGCCCCCGTTTTTGGGATGATGGATGAGGATGGAGCGGCAGGGCCCACAGGACGCCGCTCTATGGACTGTGAAGGTGCGTGAAGCGGCGAAGGGATGGAGCCACGGAGGACTTACAAATCCACTTTTATTGAACACCTCAACAATATCTGCTTCCTGTTTCTCCGGGCAATGCAAACCAGTTTTCGATTTCGCTCAAATCAATTGACCCGGGTCTTATTTGGAGGAAAATCATAAACTGTCAGAATATTGTATGTTTAACAAGACGTATTTGCCATGAACATGTTTTAAAAGTGGGAAGCTGAAGGTATAATGTGAGAATTAGTTAGTATAAATGTTTATATGATGTACAATAACACACCACAATGTTGTTTACTTAATATATAGCATTTTAGCGAAGAGAAAATACTCTCTTTGGCTAATAATAACCTGATCTAATAATGCGACAGAAGCCAAAAGCAAATCCATGTGAAATCCAGAGATACGACAAAAAGAGGGGTAACAAGACTTTCCTTCCTGCTGCTGTCAGACTGTACAATGAGAACTGTTTGTCATTAATCTGTAAATCATGTGTAATGTGCAAATTTCACTGAATGACACTTTATCTACGTATTATCCTGCTCTATATGTACAGTAGATAACTTTGCACCAAATGTACAGTATATACAGTAGATAGATAGACAGAGATATATTGGTATTGACGCATTTACAGCTAGCTAAACAACATAGCAGCTACATATATTGTATATTTTGTGCGCTCCCTGTGTGCTCTTACTACTGCCCTGTGTGAAATACTAAAGGATCACTTCTCTGATCTTAGAATCTGGGACAATCTTCCTGAAAATGCGAGACAAGCCTCCTCTCTGACAATGTTTAAATCCAGGTTAAAAACAGTTGCCTTTATCTGCGTTACAACTGCGCGATTTTATATTTTTATCTTACTTTTTAATGTAATTCAATGTAATGTGTGTGAACTTTTAAACGTGCTTATCTTGCCTAGCTACATGGCATTGATCACACATTCCAAAGGTATTTTTTCTCGTACTTTCACTGCGTCTTCTCTCCCTCGCACACCACCGCAGAAGCATTAACTGTTGGATTCCCATTGAGACCCCTGCAGCATTGATATGTAGCTTCTGTATACGCTCTACTGTTGCCTACACACCAAAGAATACCAAACAGGCCGCTCTGGGCTTAAGGGATCACTGCTCTGGCCATGTTCTACAATCAAACCCTGCACCGGGCTCAGGTCAGCAGCCTCTCCCTGCACTCGGCATTTACTGCACATATATAAGATGTTTTACTGAATTGTTTATATACAAAAATGGGAACAACTTTATTAACACGCAGACAAAACATTAAAGTAGCAATATGTAAGATTTTCATGTCAAGTCATCATTAAAGGGCCCTTATCTGTCATCATTAAAGGGCCCTTATCTGTCATCATTAAAGGGCCCAAATCTGTCATCATTAAAGGCCCTAATCTGTCATCATTAAAGGGCCCAAATCTGTCATCATTAAAGGGCCCAAATCTGTCATCATTAAAGGGCCCAAATCTGTCATCATTAAAGGCCCTAATCAGTCATCATTAAAGGGCCGTCGGTGTGTGTGACGTCAGTTGGTGTGTGTGACGTCAGTTGGTGTGTGACGTCAGTTGGTGTGTGTGACGTCAGTTGGTATGTGTTACGTCAGTTGGTGTGTGTGACGTCAGTTGGTGTGTGTGACGTCAGTCCGTGTGTGTGACGTCAGTCAGTGTGTGTGACGTCAGTTGGTGGGTGTGACGTCAGTTGGTGTGTGTGACGTCAGTCGGTGTGTGTGACGTCAGTTGGAGTGTGTGACGTCAGTTGGTGTGTGTGACGTCAGTTGGTGTGTGTGACGTCAGTTGGTGTGTGACGTCAGTTGGTTTGTGTGACGTCAGTTGGTGTGTGTGACGTCAGTTGGTGTGTGTGTGACGTCAGTTGGTGTGTGTGACGTCAGTTGGTGTGTGACGTCAGTTGGTGTGTGTGACGTCAGTTGGTGTGTGACGTCAGTTGGTGTGTGTGACGTCAGTTGGCGTGTGACGTCAGTTGGTGTGTGTGACGTCAGTTGGTGTGTGACGTCAGTCGGTGTGTGTGACGTCAGTTGGTGTGTGTGACGTCAGTTGGTGTGTGTGACATCAGTTGGTGTGTGTGACGTCAGTTGGTGTGTGTGACGTCAGTTGGTGTGTGACTTCAGTGGGTGTGTGTGACGTCAGTTGGTGTGTGACGTCAGTCAGTGTGTGTGACATCAGTTGGTGTGTGACGTCAGTTGGTGTGTGTGACGTCAGTTGGTATGTGTGACGTCAGTTGGTGTGTGTGACGTCAGTTGGTGTGTGTGACGTCAGTTGGTGTGTGTGACGTCAGTTGGTGTGTGTGACGTCAGTTGGTGTGTGTGACGTCAGTTGGTGTGTGACTTCAGTGGGTGTGTGTGACGTCAGTTGGTGTGTGACGTCAGTCGGTGTGTGTGACGTCAGTTGGTGTGTGTGACGTCAGTTGGTATGTGTTACGTTGGTGTGTGTGACGTCAGTTGGTGTGTGTGTGACGTCTGTCGGTGTGTGACGTCAGTTGGTGGGTGTGACGTCAGTCGGTGTGTGACGTCAGTTGGTGTGTGTGACGTCAGTCGGTGTGTGTGACGTCAGTCGGTGTGTGTGACGTCAGTTGGAGTGTGTGACGTCATTTGGTGGGTGTGACGTCAGTTGGTGTGTGTGACGTCAGTTGGTGTGTGACGTCAGTTGGTGTGTGTGACGTCAGTTGGTGTGTGTGACGTCAGTTGGTGTGTGTGACGTCAGTTGGTGTGTGTGACGTCAGTTGGTGTGTGTGACGTCAGTTGGTGTGTGACTTCAGTGGGTGTGTGTGACGTCAGTTGGTGTGTGACGTCAGTCGGTGTGTGTGACGTCAGTTGGTGTGTGACGTCAGTCGGTGTGTGTGACGTCAGTTGGTATGTGTTACGTCAGTTGGTGTGTGTGACGTCAGTTGGTGTGTGTGACGTTGGTGTGTGTGACGTCAGTTGGTGTGTGTGACGTCAGTCGGTGTGTGTGACGTCAGTTGGTGGGTGTGACGTCAGTCGGTGTGTGTGATGTCAGTCGGTGTGTGTGACGTCAGTTGGAGTGTGTGACGTCATTTGGTGGGTGTGACGTCAGTTGGTGTGTGTGACGTCAGTCGGTGTGTGTGACGTCAGTTGGTGTGTGACGTCAGTTGGTGTGTGTGACGTCAGTTGGTGTGTGTTACGTCAGTTGGTGTGTGTGACGTCAGTTGGTGTGTGTGACGTCAGTTGGCGTGTGACGTCAGTTGGTGTGTGTGACGTCAGTTGGTGTGTGTGTGACGTCAGTCGGTGTGTGTGACGTCAGTAGGTATGTGTGACGTCAGTTGGTGTGTGTGACGTCAGTTGGTGTGTGTGACGTCAGTTGGTGTGTGTGACGTCAGTTGGTGTGTGACGTCAGTTGGTGTGTGTGACGTCAGTTGGTGTGTGTGACGTCAGTGGGTGTGTGTGACGTCAGTGGGTGTGTGTGACGTCAGGTGGTGTGTGTGACGTCAGTTGGTGTGTGTGACGTCAGTTGGTGTGTGTGACGTCAGTTGGTGTGTGACGTCAGTTGGTGTGTGATGTCAGTTGGTGTGTGTGACGTCAGTTGGTGTGTGTGACGTCAGTTGGTGTGTGTGACGCCAGTTGGTGTGTGACGTCAGTGGGTGTGTGTGTGACGTCAGTTGGTGTGTGACGTCAGTTGGTTTGTGTGACGTCAGTTGGTGTGTGTGACGTCAGTTGGTTTGTGTGACGTCAGTTGGTGTGTGTGACGTCAGTTGGTGTGTGTGACGTCAGTTGGTGTGTGTGACGTCAGTTGGTGTGTGTGACGTCAGTTGGTGTGTGTGACGTCAGTTGGTGTGTGTGACGTCAGTTGGTGTGTGTGACGTCAGTTGGTGTGTGACGTCAGTTGGTGTGTGTGACGTCAGTTGGTGTGTGTGACGTCAGTTGGTATGTGTTACGTCAGTTGGTGTGTGTGATGTCAGTTGGTGTGTGACGTCAGTCGGTGTGTGTGACGTCAGTTGGTGTGTGTGACGTTGGTGTGTTTGACGTCAGTTGGTGTGTGTGACGTCAGTTGGTGTGTGTGACGTCAGTTGGTGTGTGTGACGTCAGTCGGTGTGTGTGATGTCAGTTGGTGTGTGTGACGTCAGTTGGTGTGTGTGACGTCAGTTGGTGTGTGTGACGTCAGTTGGTGTGTGTGACGTCAGTTGGTGTGTGTGACGTCAGTTGGTGTGTGTGACGTCAGTTGGTGTGTGTGACGTCAGTTGGTGTGTGACGTCAGTTGGTGTGTGTGACGTCAGTTGGTGTGTGTGACGTCAGTTGGTATGTGTTACGTCAGTTGGTGTGTGTGATGTCAGTTGGTGTGTGACGTCAGTCGGTGTGTGTGACGTCAGTTGGTGTGTGTGACGTTGGTGTGTTTGACCGTCAGTTGGTGTGTGTGACGTCAGTTGGTGTGTGTGACGTCAGTTGGTGTGTGTGACGTCAGTCGGTGTGTGTGATGTCAGTTGGTGTGTGTGACGTCAGTCGGTGTGTGTGACGTCAGTCGGTGTGTGTGACGTCAGTCGGTGTGTGTGACGTCAGTCGGTGTGTGTGACGTCAGTTGGTGTGTGTGACGTTGGTGTGTGTGACGTCAGTTGGTGTGTGTGACGTCAGTTGGTGTGTGTGACGTCAGTTGGTGTTTGTGACGTCAGCCGGTGTGTGTGACGTCAGTCGGTGTGTGTGACGTCAGTTGGTGTGTGTGACATCAGTTGGTGTGTGTGACGTCAGTTGGTGTGTGTGACGTCAGTTGGTGTGTGACTTCAGTGGGTGTGTGTGACGTCAGTTGGTGTGTGTGACGTCAGTTGGTGTGTGTGACGTCAGTGGGTGTGTGTGACGTCAGTGGGTGTGTGTGACGTCAGGTGGTGTGTGTGTGACGTCAGTTGGTGTGTGTGACGTCAGTTGGTGTGTGTGACGTCAGTTCGTGTGTGACGTCAGTTGGTGTGTGATGTCAGTTGGTGTGTGTGACGTCAGTTGGTGTGTGTGACGCCAGTTGGTGTGTGACGTCAGTGGGTGTGTGTGTGACGTCAGTTGGTGAAAGTCCTTCCTCTGTTTTAGTTATGACTGAATATATCACAATTTAAAACTACGACCATAGCGTTTTATGACACTGTTTAATGGACAGTTGATCAGTCCCGTCAATCCCAATGACTTTTCTATCGTATGTTTTAAACCACACCATTGTTATATCCCTTCCTCGCTCCTATAAAGCGTCCTGCTCGTGTCCAAAGTGCTCCGGGGCCTGCTTCAGCGCGGTCAGGGAGGGCTGAGCGTCCCCTGGCCTGCCTGAGCACTGTCCAGTCGGGGTAATTATGATGGATGGAGTCATTTCCAACGGCGCTTGTGGCCAAGAGGGGGAGCCCACCATGGTCTCTCTCTGCTTTAATGACTTTATAATGGAGCGCTCTCCCAACGCCATCGCACGGCCCGTTCTGGAGAGAGTCACGAACAAATCACCGCTGTTAGAGCTGGTAATGGCGCAGCGGGAAATATGGGGGGGGGGGGGGGGGGGGGGGGGGGGGGGGGGGGTCTGGGTGTGTCAAATGCCCACAGACCCTCCAGGCTGACACATCTCCAAAGGATGGAGGTCCGGTCTGTGTGGAAGCAGTGAAAACCCGGTGGACACAGGTGAACGGGGCTCTGCCTGAATCACGGAGGTCGGACTCACTGCCAAAGGGAATGAATTGGGAAGTTTTTTTTATAATGACTGGAAATTAATGAGTACATGCATTAGTTCAGTGATTCACATTGTTGCCCTGGGGTACCCCTCGGACCGCTCAGTCAGGGCACAAGTACAGAGGGAGTTGGAGCTGCCACCGATACTTCTTGGTATCTCTGGTTTTCTTTCTGGAAAGTGTTGGTTATTGCTCATATTCTGCAGCTGTGCAATGTTACTCTCTTTAATATACAGCATCTGTTTGGTACATTATTGTGTAACCTGTTGGTTACGTTTAATTAATTTGAGTTCTTGAGGGGCGACAGTTGCTCAGTTGGTAGAGCATTGGCCGTTAGGCCTGAAGGTCGTGTGTTCAATTCCCACCTTGACACCTTCTCCACCGACTCCCACTGATGTCTGCTGTCGTTGTGTCCTTGGGCAAGACACTTAACTTGCCCAAGTTAAGTGGACTTTGCCCAAAGCCCCCACTGAGAGATCAAGGCTATGCTCACATTGACAGAGCAGCCGTCCTCCTGTGGACTCACCACCTGCAGAGGAGCAGTGAGGTGCAGGTTCTCTGTGACTTGGGTGCATCTCTGACTGCCACCCCCCTGACCCAGAAATGGATTAAGAGGTAGAAAATGGATGGATGGATAATTTGAGTTCTAGATGTTTTGGTGCAAACATACTGTAGTACATGCTCGGACTGCAAAGTGGTACCTACATAAGACACTAAAGAAGGAGCAGTGCATATGGATTAAAGGAGACCTAGTTTTGTCCTATATATACTGTACTGTACATATACACTGTACATATATACTGTACATATATACATATACACTTTACATATATACTGTACATATATACATATACACTTTAGACTGAGTTAAAACACTTATGAAAGAAAAAAGTTGCGTGGGTGTAAATGACGAGGAATATGAGAAAAGTCATATTTCTGGTTAGGTCGGGTTTTAATGAAGCTCCACAGTGATTAAAAGTAGACGAAATTACCTTAAATTAGGCTTTAAATGACCCAGGGCTGGTCAAAAATCAGCAAGAAATAATAATAATTAGTGATTAGCATAATTTATGTTATTTTTAGTAAATAATTCTTAACAACATTGTAGTTTTTTCAGTGCATGAACTCTGCAGTGTCGGATACTCACAGGACTCCAAAGTATTCCATCGTTTAACATTAGTTTGTGTTTGAGCAGAGTTTAGTCCGACACTATCACACAAGCTGCACTGAAAAAACCACAACCTTAAGTAAGATTTATTTACACAAAAAAAATTATGCTTATATTTTAGTGGCAAGTTGTTGTTGCTTGAATGTAGTTTTTCATAAGATAATATTACTAGTTTAAAGATAATAATACTTCATAATCTCAGAGAAAAAGTCCGAACAGTATTTAAGCTTGTTTTAAGTATTTTTCTTGTCATCTTGTCAAGTCATATTTTCTTGTTCTATTGGCAGATATTTTTTTATTTATTATTTTAGGCAGTATTTTACTTATTTTCGAGTTGTTTTTTATTTTAAATTTTTTTTCAAGGGATTGTTTCCGTTTAAAAAAAAAGGACATTTGTGTGGGCCTGTAATTATACATGAATACAAACACTAATAACAGTAGTTTTGGGTAAAATCTGCAGCAGGACAACAACAAGGGTGGGAGGCTGATGGGTGGGAGGCTGATGGGGGGGGGGGGGGGGGGGGGGGGCTGATGGGGGGGCTGATGGGGGAGGCTGATGGGGGAGGCTGATGGGTGAGAGGCTGATGGGTGGGAGGCTGATGGGGGGGGGCTGATGGGGGGGGCTGATGGGTGAGAGGCTGATGGGTGGGAGGCTGATGGGGGGGGGGGGCTGATGGGGAGGCTGATGGGTGAGAGGCTGATGGGTGGGAGGCTGATGGGTGGGAGGCTGATGGGGGGGGGGCTGATGGGGGGGGCTGATGGGTGAGAGGCTGATGGGTGGGAGACTGATGGGGGGGGGGCTGATGGGGGGGGGCTGATGGGTGGGAGGCTGATGGGGGGGGCTGATGGGTGAGAGGCTGATGGGGGGGGGCTGATGGGGGGGGCTGATGGGTGAGAGGCTGATAGGGGGGGAGGCTGATGGGTGGGAGGCTGATGGGTGGGAGGCTGATGGGGGGGGGTTGATGGGGGGGAGGCTGATTGGGGGAGGCTGATGGGGGGAGGCTGATGGGTGGGAGGCTGATGGGGGGGGGGCTGATGGGGGGGCTGATGGATGAGAGGCTGATGGGGGGGGGCTGATGGGGGGGGTTGATGGGGGGGAGGCTGATTGGGGGAGGCTGATTGGGGGGAGGCTGATGGGGGGGGGGGGGGGGGGGGCTGATGGGGGGGAGGCTGATTGGGGGAGGCTGATTGGGGGGGGGCTGATGGGTGGGAGGCTAATGGGGGGGAGGCTGATGGGTGGGGGGGGGGGATAAAATGTTAATTAGCCTTTTACTTGGTGATAAAGAAATTACATGACATTTATAAAACTAAAATAAGAAAGACAGAATGGTAAACCAGGCTGGACACATTAGACCATGATTCAGAAGAGCAGAGTCTGAGTCTGACCCTGTTTCAGAGACAGAAGAAGCTCACCATTATTATTATAACCTTTTATCTGCTTTTTGAAATGCAACTTAACCCAAACTATGGCCATCTTTCAACATGAACAAAGAGATATAGCATTTAACTTAAAGGTGGTGTTGTATCACTATGGGTTGTATAACTTTGATCTTGTCCATAAGTATATTTTTGTAAAGTTTGTATATTTTAATCCCTGAACACACAAAATGATTGGTTCTTCCTACTTTCTAATAGCTCCAGTAAAACAATAAGATGTCTTCAAAACCGTCTCAAAAGTCCTCAGAATTCAGATTTTCTTTTCCCTTCAGTAAACCTGCCGTGCATTAAACCGTGTGGCCTTAGTCTCCCATGGCTCCACTGGTTTCTACTCGGGTTGTTCCGTACCGTTATCTCAGCTTTAAATTGGAAATCTGATCTGAACGATGATTGGACGTGACCAGCATATTTGTCAGAGCCCGGCGCGAGGAGCTTTTTCTTATGAGCAATAAAATAAGTAAAGGTCAGTGTTGTTTGTAAACCTCCATCAGTGCGCTCATCATTTTAGATGTTCCCGGCTCTCTCACAGCAACCCCTCGCTGGGACGGTGCCATTCACACATGAATATACAGAGAATCCTGTCCTGAGCTTTGATGAATGAAGCAATCAGTGCAGTTTACTCACAAAGAGGTGTTCAGGAAGATCTGACCATAGCTGAGGTCCCAGATGCATCCTGAGACTTCAAAATGGAGGGTCAGCACAGTCTGGGCTCTTTATATCACTCCTCCTCTTCATCACTCTGCTGAGCTCTGGACTCGTGGCCTGTAAAGAGGTTTAGGTGCAAACAAACAGGCCATTTAGTAGCATCTCTTCTCCATTTAGGCCATCATTACAGGCCCTCAAGGCCCTGGCTCAGCACTGAATTATGAATTAAGTTGTCAGGAGAGCCCCTGCTTATGAGCTAAGGGGGTCATATAAATTTAATTTGAAAAGGGATTCAGTTAAGAATGTATACTCAGCAACCTCCTGTAGAACTTGTCCATTAACCAAGAGCTCAGGCCCGGAGTGAAGTGCAGCCAAAATACCTATCTCAGACAGAATAACCCATATTCACAAAAGGCTGGGAACAGCCTGCCATTGACGTTCCCACAAACTCTATTGAAATAGTCATAAAAGCTAAAGCGACATAGATCCAGTGTTTTGTAACCCAAAGCAGTTTTGTCAGCGCCGCTCAATGCATCTTCTTTTATGATGCTTGTTCAGTCTTTTTCTTATTCACTCATAAAATCTACAAAAGAAGGTCTGAAAAGTCTGTTATAATGGACCTGTTTCAGGTGTAACATAAAAAGCCTTCCTCCTGTAATTACTATGAAAGCCATTGTTGTTGCTGGTTTTACACAATTACATTAAGTTTATGAGGCGACAGTGGCTCAGTTGATAGAGCTTTGGACCCAATGGTCGTGGTTTCAATCCCACCACGACCCATGTCACCTGCTCCCACTGATGTCTGCTGTTGTTGTGTCCCTGGGCAAGACACTTAACCCCATATTGCCATGTCTTCGATGACAGAGAAGCCATCTTCCTGTGGACTAGGGTTTAATATTTTTCCCGAAAATGAGACGTATTAAATCCCAGGAAAAGATGACGCCTTTCCCGGGAAATCCCGGGAAATAGCTGTTGTTTGTAGATGTTGTTTTTAGCCCAAGTAATGTATGATATCACTCAAATATATAATCCAACAAAAGCTGCCGTCTCCACTAGTGTTTCACCAAGCGACTTGCTAGCTTTGCTAAAGTGGCCATAGCGTTTTCAGCCGTTTTGTTGATGGGCTTTCTTCAGGAATTTCACTATTATGAGATTCTAAATGTCTGCCCAATCCACTTGTCGACCAGTGACGTGTGGTTTGGAGGCACTGACTTCAGCCCTGTCAGATGAACATATATCATATAAATCAACAGAACCTACAGAGCGGCTTATTCACAATTAGTTTGGCTACAGCAGAATGTTTTCCATGGCCCGCATTATTTGCTCAAACAAAACGCAAAAGTTCGTAAAAGGCACATTTCCAATTGTGTTATGGGTCTTACCTTAGTTATTAATGAACAGCACAGACCACTTCAGTTCAGACCAGTTTCATGTTTAAGTCCAGATAATAGTTTGAGCGCAGATATGTAATCCCCCATTTGGAATTTGGAGTTTTAAAGCGTAAAACAAAACGGGTGCCACCTCCATAAACTCCTGTGTGTTCGCTGCAGCCGGCTCTCGGGCGCATCCAATTTCTAATATCAACCTTCTTACCCTTCTCCTCTCTTCCTTATCATTCCTATCGTCATTGGAAGCAGAACATTACCCTAAATGCATTTTATATGATCTTAAAATGTGTTATCTGTATGTTAGCCAAACCTGTTGCTGCCCTTAGCAGATGGAAAAAAAGAAAGGAGCTTTCTGATAGAATTGGACGAAGCCAAATTCTGGGCTCACATGAACCCATGTACCCTGAGCCTGGCCTCATTACAAGTTGTGGTTTAGCGCGATTAAGACCCATATTTGTTGTCAAAAACACAATTTATGAGCCATCCTCTCAGCTGTAGACATGTTGATTGTAAATGAAATATGTTTGAACTTTGAACAACAATAAACGTGCTCTATAATAGGAGCACACTGGATTTTTTTAAAACTTTCATTTCCCGTTTCCCGTCATAACATTTCCCGGGAATCGGGAAATAGTTTTGATCAGATTTCCCGGGAATCCCGTGTCCCGGGATTAAACCCTACTGTGGACCCACCACCTGCAGAGGATCAGAGGGACTAGTGCATTGGGACTTGAGTGGCAGCTCTGATTACCACCAGAAACCAATGACATGATGTTTAAAACATGCTGCTTCAAAGGAGAAAGTCCAACCACCCTCATCAGGGAATACCTCTCGTCATTTTTAAATACATGTATATGGGCTGTATTAACATTTAAAGCTTTTTTTCAATCTTAAAAGCAAATGGTAACAAAACTTAGTGAAACTAAATATAATATGGACGTATGGAGTGAATGTGGACCTAGATCTTTGCGATCTCACAAATATCCTTGTGTGAATTTAAACCCGCCATAATCATAGTTAACATGTACTGCCCAAGAGCCCTTTGACTTTCTGCTGTGCCAGATGTGTGTCCAGCTGTTGTCCCTGTGCTCTCTGGGGGCCAGTGCAGGGGCCGCTGCCAAAGACTCCTCCCTCAGGGACCAGTGATCGTCAGGAAGGTCTTTAGAAGGACTGGCCCCTTCAAAGCCTGAGCTGCAGCCTCTCGTTGGCCGTGCGGGGCCATCGCCTGGGAACGCTCACTTTATCTTCTCCGTGAGATTGGATTTGGTGTCGGCGGTTGTTGTGCATCCGCTGCTCTTTGATTAGAAATCAAACAGCTCCGATGCAGAGCTTCAGAACTTATTATTCATTATTGAGCCTGAACTGGTGCCAACCTTCTGTAGGCTGCAGGAGAGACAGAGAATGTACACACAAATATATACTGAACAACCTCTAGCAAGCCAAATATTATACTATACTTATCAATGCCATCATAACATTATTACAAGTATTGAGAATAATAATAATAATGCATTGGTTTTATAAAACGCTTTGTTGGACGCTCAAAGTCTCTTCACATTATTATTCTTTATCTCCAAACACTGTGGTGATAAACTACTACTGTAGCCACAGCTGCCCTGGGGCACACTGACAGAAGTGAGGCCACCAGTCTGTGCCATCGGCCCCTCCCACCACCACCAACCATTCACACACACACCAGACTCATTCCAGGCAATGGGAGTAAAGTGTCTTGCCTAAGGACACAACGGCAGTTTGGCACTTTACAGCCGCAGCCGCCCCACTGTGGCACCTGGTGATCCCAGAGGTTAAGTGTCTTGCCCAAGGACACAACGACAGCAGACAGTGGGAGTCGATTATGAAAGTCTTGAGGTGGACTCGAACCCACGACCTTCAGGCTCAAAGGCCAATGCTTGTAATGGCCAATGTATTGAAGTAAGACACTTAAGTCAAAGTAAAGTAGCGGTTCAATCTTAAATACTTTATACTGTAAATAATTGAATTGAATATTGCCTGAAAAACGTTTAAATGTTTGATTTGTAGAAGTTTCAAACTGACATGAAGCACGGCTAACCACAACTTATTTCTTAGAAGCACGACCTGAGCTTGGCCTGATTTATTCCATTTGGACATTGGACAAACTATCTCCTCCAGCTTTAGAAAGGTTTCTACCAGAATCACCCTCTGACCCCGGGTCCATCTCTGTGGACCCTAGGTATATTCACATTCTTAAAGTAAAAATACTTAGTTACTGGCCTCCTCTGCAGCGGAGATGTGATTTCAGACTCTTCTGTCCTCACTTCAGTTCATACATTTACACAAAAACACACTCGCACACATCTTACACACACGGTACTGACTCTAGAATCCAGTCCAGAGTGCGGGTCTGTGATGTGGACGGAGGCGGTCAGTGAAAGGCCTCGTCACTCTCTGACACGGAGCCAGAGGAGGAAGTGACCTCTGCGCTCCTGCTGTCCATTCACACGTTCCTCTTCTCCCAACGTCCCATTTGTCATGAGTCCATCCAGCGAGCACCAGTGGGGGCCAGACTGACCTCTGCTGGGGAGGGCAGGTACTTGGAGAGCTGCCACAGAGTCAGTGACGTGCGGTGAGAGAGAGAGAGAGACGAGGAGAGAGGGAGAGACACCAGGAGAGAGAGAGATGAGGAGAGAGGGAGAGACACCAGGAGAGAGAGAGAGATGAGGAGAGAGGGAGAGACACCAGGAGAGAGAGAGATGAGGAGAGAGGGAGAGACACCAGGAGAGAGAGAGAGATGAGGAGAGAGGGAGAGACACCAGGAGAGAGAGAGATGAGGAGAGAGGGAGAGAGACGAGAGAGAGACACGAGGAGAGAGAGAGAGACACCAGGAGAGAGAGAGAGACGAGGAGAGAGGGAGAGACACCAGGAGAGAGAGAGAGACACAAGGAGAGAGGGAGAGACACCAGGAGAGAGAGAGAGAGAGACACAAGGAGAGAGAGAGAGACGAGGAGAGAGAGAGAGACACGAGGAGAGAGAGAGAGACACTAGGAGAGAGAGAGAGACGAGGAGAGAGGGAGAGACGAGGAGAGAGGGAGAGACACCAGGAGAGAGAGAGAGAGAGACACAAGGAGAGAGAGAGAGACGAGGAGAGAGGGAGAGACACAAGGAGAGAGAGAGAGACACGAGGAGAGAGAGAGACACCAGGAGAGAGAGAGAGACGAGGAGAGAGGGAGAGACACCAGGAGAGAGAGAGAGACACGAGGAGAGAGAGAGAGACGAGGAGAGAGAGAGACACCAGGAGAGAGAGAGAGAGAGAGAGACACACAAGGTGAGAGAGGAGAGACGAAGAGAGAGAGAGAGATGAGGAGAGAGGGAGAGACACCAGGAGAGAGAGAGATGAGGAGAGAGGGAGAGACACCAGGAGAGAGAGAGATGAGGAGAGAGGGAGAGACACCAGGAGAGAGAGAGATGAGGAGAGAGGGAGAGACACCAGGAGAGAGAGAGAGATGAGGAGAGAGGGAGAGACACCAGGAGAGAGAGAGATGAGGAGAGAGGGAGAGACACCAGGAGAGAGAGAGAGATGTGGAGAGAGGGAGAGACACCAGGAGAGAGAGATGAGGAGAGAGGGAGAGACACCAGGAGAGAGAGAGAGATGAGGAGAGAGGGAGAGACACCAGGAGAGAGAGAGATGAGGAGAGAGGGAGAGAGACGAGAGAGAGACACTAGGAGAGAGAGAGAGACACGAGGAGAGAGAGAGAGACACCAGGAGAGAGAGAGAGACGAGGAGAGAGGGAGAGACACCAGGAGAGAGAGAGAGACACAAGGAGAGAGGGAGAGACACCAGGGAGAGAGAGAGAGAGAGACACAAGGAGAGAGAGAGAGACGAGGAGAGAGAGAGAGACACGAGGAGAGAGAGAGAGACACTAGGAGAGAGAGAGAGACGAGGAGAGAGGGAGAGACGAGGAGAGAGGGAGAGACACCAGGAGAGAGAGAGAGAGAGACACAAGGAGAGAGAGAGAGACGAGGAGAGAGGGAGAGACACAAGGAGAGAGAGAGAGACACGAGGAGAGAGAGAGAGACACCAGGAGAGAGAGAGAGACGAGGAGAGAGGGAGAGACACCAGGAGAGAGAGAGAGACACGAGGAGAGAGAGAGAGACGAGGAGAGAGAGAGACACTAGGAGAGAGAGAGAGAGAGAGACACACAAGGTGAGAGAGAGAGATGAGGAGAGAGGGAGAGACACCAGAGAGAGAGAGAGATGAGGAGAGAGGGAGAGACACCAGGAGAGAGAGAGATGAGGAGAGAGGGAGAGACACCAGGAGAGAGAGAGAGATGAGGAGAGAGGGAGAGACACCAGGAGAGAGAGAGAGATGAGGAGAGAGGGAGAGACACCAGGAGAGAGAGAGATGAGGAGAGAGGGAGAGACACCAGGAGAGAGAGAGAGATGAGGAGAGAGGGAGAGACACCAGGAGAGAGAGAGAGATGTGGAGAGAGGGAGAGACACCAGGAGAGAGAGATGAGGAGAGAGGGAGAGACACCAGGAGAGAGAGAGATGAGGAGAGAGGGAGAGAGACGAGAGAGAGACACTAGGAGAGAGAGAGAGACACGAGGAGAGAGAGAGAGACACCAGGAGAGAGAGAGAGACGAGGAGAGAGGGAGAGACACCAGGAGAGAGAGAGAGACACAAGGAGAGAGGGAGAGACACCAGGAGAGAGAGAGAGAGAGACACAAGGAGAGAGAGAGAGACGAGGAGAGAGAGAGAGACACGAGGAGAGAGAGAGAGACACTAGGAGAGAGAGAGAGACGAGGAGAGAGGGAGAGACGAGGAGAGAGGGAGAGACACCAGGAGAGAGAGAGAGAGAGACACAAGGAGAGAGAGAGAGACGAGGAGAGAGGGAGAGACACAAGGAGAGAGAGAGAGACACGAGGAGAGAGAGAGAGACACCAGGAGAGAGAGAGAGACGAGGAGAGAGGGAGAGACACCAGGAGAGAGAGAGAGACACGAGGAGAGAGAGAGAGACGAGGAGAGAGAGAGACACCAGGAGAGAGAGAGAGAGAGAGACACACAAGGTGAGAGAGAGAGACGAGGAGAGAGAGAGAGATGAGGAGAGAGGGAGAGACACCAGGAGAGAGAGAGATGAGGAGAGAGGGAGAGACACCAGGAGAGAGAGAGATGAGGAGAGAGGGAGAGACACCAGGAGAGAGAGAGAGATGAGGAGAGAGGGAGAGACACCAGGAGAGAGAGAGAGATGAGGAGAGAGGGAGAGACACCAGGAGAGAGAGAGATGAGGAGAGAGGGAGAGACACCAGGAGAGAGAGAGAGATGAGGAGAGAGGGAGAGACACCAGGAGAGAGAGAGATGAGGAGAGAGGGAGAGAGACGAGAGAGAGACACTAGGAGAGAGAGAGAGACACGAGGAGAGAGAGAGAGACACCAGGAGAGAGAGAGAGACGAGGAGAGAGGGAGAGACACCAGGAGAGAGAGAGAGACACAAGGAGAGAGGGAGAGACACCAGGAGAGAGAGAGAGAGACACACAAGGAGAGAGAGAGAGACGAGGAGAGAGAGAGAGACACGAGGAGAGAGAGAGAGACACTAGGAGAGAGAGAGAGACGAGGAGAGAGGGAGAGACGAGGAGAGAGGGAGAGACACCAGGAGAGAGAGAGAGAGACACAAGGAGAGAGAGAGAGACGAGGAGAGAGGGAGAGACACAAGGAGAGAGAGAGAGACACGAGGAGAGAGAGAGAGACACCAGGAGAGAGAGAGAGACGAGGAGAGAGGGAGAGACACCAGGAGAGAGAGAGAGACACGAGGAGAGAGAGAGAGACGAGGAGAGAGAGAGACACCAGGAGAGAGAGAGAGAGAGAGACACACAAGGTGAGAGAGAGAGACGAGGAGAGAGAGAGAGATGAGGAGAGAGGGAGAGACACCAGGAGAGAGAGAGATGAGGAGAGAGGGAGAGACACCAGGAGAGAGAGAGATGAGGAGAGAGGGAGAGACACCAGGAGAGAGAGAGATGAGGAGAGAGGGAGAGACACCAGGAGAGAGAGAGAGATGAGGAGAGAGGGAGAGACACCAGGAGAGAGAGAGAGATGAGGAGAGAGGGAGAGACACCAGGAGAGAGAGAGAGATGAGGAGAGAGGGAGAGAGACACCAGGAGAGAGAGAGATGAG